CAGCAGAAAACTGAAAAAACGGCTGCTGTATAAATTATGTAAATTAAAAGTAGCTTTTTCTTTCACCTACCGTTTTCAAGTGGCAGCTGTTGAATCTTTTGTGCAAACTGCAGAAAGGGTTTTAAGGGGTATCTAATCCCTCAAAAGATTTTATATTTTAAAATAGGCAGAATTAGTGCTCATGTTAAGATATTTGGATCAATATCTCTACAAGTATCAGGATCCTAAACGAATAGTAGACATACGATCATAGAAAATAATTTTGGATATACTTTATGGTTAACTCCTCTGCAGGATAAGAAACATCAATGTAGTGTAAAAAAACCCCCCAGCTCATACAGATTCCACATGTACAGCAAGCCTTATGCAACAGAAGTGCTTCTGACACGTTAAAAGAAAATGGATGGCTTGGAAGAAAAATACTTCATTGTTGTAATTAGGACATGATTGAAATCCAGTCACTGTGTGGTTATGTAATGTCTTGATAAACAATTAGCCTATATTTTAAATTTGAATGAGAGATAATTTCCTTTGTCTTAATTGCTGTGCTCAAGCTGATGAAAAGGATGGTTCTATAGTGAGCAGCATCAATTGTGTGAACGCCCTCTAAATAGTCCAGGTTTAACAGGTTGCATCCAACTGTGCCTCTCTGTCTCCCCAGAACTGATGCTGAAGATTCATCTAAGCGCTTATTTTTAGTTTTCTTCCCACTTCTCTCCAAGATTCACAACAACATAGGCGGTATTACTCATTTGTGAAAGCTCACCCCTGCCCGCTGTACGTTCTGAGGATGCAGAGTGCTGCATAGGCCTTGTTGCACTGTCCTATCAGAAAACATGTGGTCACGCGGGTGAAGTTTTGTGTTGACCTCATAGACAATTCTCTTTTTTTTGTTTGTTTGTTTTTGATCAGCACCTATCATGGCTGCTTCAAACAAAGCCGGCGTTCCTTCCTTGCAGTGTATCCAAACTTGCATGTCGCAAACTCCTTACCAACCTTGAGAAGAATGTAATCGTGTGAAAGTGCTGTGCTGGAAATTTTGAAACTACAGGTTCCTTTGAACGCTGTGCTTTTCAATTACTTTAATTCAATCTCTTTTTCACTTGGTAATTTCTTTCTTTTCTCTGCACTGTGTAGAGACTGCAATGCAAACTGCAGTCACAATTTGTGAGCGCAGTGATTTCCAATGCAGGGGTGTGCAGTCATTTTAATATTATTTTTTCTAATAGTTCTTTTTACTGCAAATTCTATAATATTTTCACCCATTTAAATTTTAGAAACATTATCTAAATTAAAATAAAAGCAACTAATGTTTAGTTAAACTAGCCACACAAAAATAATCAACAAGCGTGACACCACCATGGCCAGTGAGGCCATTCTAACCAGTCCTCTGACCTCACACAACCAACAAAGGCCTGTAAGTGTTGCTACACTTCCTCAGAAAAGACGAGTTAACTCCACTAAACACTGTTTTCAGTGGAGCTTAAATATTATGAGTCTTCAAGTTGTACATCTAAAGAGGGGGAAATTATTATTTAATCTCGTGTTGAATTTGTAAGTTTGCTCACTTACAAAGAAATGAACAGACTCTAATTATATGGTTGTTTCATTTCAATGGAGTGAAACAGAACATCAACCAAAAATTCAGTTTATAAATTTTTCCGTAATGAGGATTTTTGGTTGATTTCTTGTGACTCCCCCCAAAAATCAAAATCAAAATCAAGCTACCATGAAAACTGGAGTTCATTTCTTTGTAAGTGAGCAAATTTACAAATTCATCAGGGGATCAAATAATTATGTCCCACACCAAATATAGCCGTCGTGAGTGAGTGACTAAAAAAAGTATTTGGGATACAGATCAGTGTGATAAATGTTTCACAGGATGCTCAGAAGAATAACATCAGTTAAAGGATCAGAAAGAAAGAGGAAGTATTGACAAAAGCACTATATTGATAATGTGAGCAATTTGTGACAACTTACATAAAGGAACTTCCCTAATAACAGTACTCAGCAGTGCTTCAAATTCACTGCTAATATCAACATGCTAACATGGTGATCAGATTAAAAAGTGACAGCAGTTCTAGTGTTTAATTTGATGCCAAACTGGAACAAGATACACTCACTGGCCACTTGTTTGCTTATAGAACTGCCTTAATTCTTTGTAGCACAGATTCAACGAGATGCTGGAAGCTTTCCTCAGAGACTTTGGTCCACGTTGACATGATAGCATCACAGTGTAGATTTGTCAGCTGTGCATCCATGGTGTGAATCTCCTGTTCCACTACATGGCAGATGTCCTCTATTGGATTGAGATCTGGTGACTGTGAAACCAGTTTATGACAGTTTGAGCTTCGTGACATGGCGCTTTACGCTGCTGGAAGCAGTCGTCAGAAGATGAGTACAGCAGCAAAACTCGGTGTTGTCACGCTGTGTTGTTTAAACAATGCTCAGTTGTTGCTAAGAGGCCCAAAGTGTGCCAAGAAAATATTCCCCACACCAGACCACCACCTGCAGCAGCCTGAACCACTGACACAAGGCAGGGTGGATCCATGTTTTCATGCCGTTTACACCCAGTTCTGACCCCAGTTGCAACAGCAATTGAGATTCATCAGACCAGGCAATGTTTTAGCAATCTTCTGTTACTCAATTTTGTTAATGCTATGCAAATTGTAGCCTCAGTTTCCCATTCTGAGCTGACAGGAGTGCCACCCAGTGTGGTCTTCTGCTATCTAGGCCATCTACTTCAAGGTTAGAAGTAGTGTGTGTTCAGCAGTGCTCTTCTACATACCTCAGTTGTAACGTGTTGTTATTTGAGTTACTGTTGCCTTTATCAACTCAAAGCAGGTTTTTTCACCCAGAGAACTGCCATTCACTGGATATTTTCTCTTTCTCACATGATTGTCTATAAAAGATGGCTGTGTGGGAAAAACCCAGCAGATCAGCAGTTTCTGAAATACCCAGACCAACCCATCTGGGACAAAAAACCACATTACGTCCAAAGTCGCTTGAATCATCTTTCTTCCCCATTTTGTTACACGTTTTGAACTTCAGCATGTCAGCTTGACTGTGTCTAAGTGTTACTGCCCTGTGATTGGCTGGTTAGAGATTTGCATTAACAATTAGTTGCCCAGGTGTATGTAATGGATTGGCTTATAAATATGGAACCATGGTTATCAAGAATCTGATTACATTTCTTATTAGATTAGCAAAAGAAAGAGGGCAATCACCAAAGTGAAAGTCATCCACAAGTGATACAAAATATTTAAGGTATAGAGATTTTTGAGATATTTCAATTCAATATCCAGTTTTATTTGTGACAAATCACAACACCAGTCGCCTCAAGGCACTTCATATTGTAAAGTACAGTCCCCACAATAATACAAAGAAAACAGAAAACCCCAACAATGAAAAGAACACCGTTGGAGCAAGCACTTGGCGACAGTGAGAAGGGAAAAAAATCCCTTTTAACAGGAAGAAACCTCTGGCAGAACCAGCCGTCCCTCAGGGAGGGACAGCCACCTGCTGGGATCGATTTCACTCAGCATTAAGGCAGAATGCAAAATCAACCAAGATCAGAAAAGTCAAGATCACTGGATAGATTGCTATTCAGTAAAAAGGACTAGATGTTACAGTCCCCATGCATTATCAGGGACTGTAACATCTAGTCCTTTTTACTGAATAGCAATCTATCCAGTGCATTTTGCCACCAGATTGATGAACTATGTTATATTTTAGTCTTTAAGACCATGTTGGTAGGATGACCTTTATACCCAGAGAAGAATTTACCGCTCTCCATTAGGGCTGCCACAAACGGTTATTTTGATAGTCAACTAGTCACTGATTATTTTTGCGATTAGTCGACTAATCAGATCATCATCCATTGGAGGTAAAACGTACAGCTTATTGCACCAGCAGCATCTGCTCTTATATAACTATCATTAGCTTACAGCTTTAACTGTTTAAGGTATGTGCTAACTAAAAATAAAGACAAGATGATAGTTTATTAAATTTTAATGAAATTTGCAGATTGTTTCGGTGAAGTTTAATAAACTCCTTGCTATCTAAAATATAACAGGACACCGGAGTAAATTCTCGAGCATCTCACACTTCTGATGATCAGCTGTCTGCTTGACGTTTATTCAGCTGTGTAAAAACTATAACTTTAATCTCAGCCAAACCGATTTACTCAGGAACAAATGAAATACTAAAAAAAGACAAACAATTACATTTTTAAGTTATCTAAGTGACTCATATATCATGTTTAACCTGAGTAGCGAAAGACGGCGGTGGGTTTGAAAAAGATTTGCCGGGAGTCCGGTGTTCTCACGGCTCTAGTTAGCCTAGCCCCCGGCTAGCTATCGAGCTAGTGGGTAACAGACGTCTCCGAAAACGTCGGAGCGCTTTTGAAAATATGCGGTGTCTTGATAAACTGAGCAGATATTTCAGGTTTACACAGCTACATTCTCGCCTGAAAATATGTTAAATGTTTATTTTGTGACCCAGAAAGAATAATAAGAGCAATATTAAAACTAACTAGCTGCCACCATTGTTGGAAGCTGCGCTATGAATTCTGGGACGCTGCTTCTTCTTCTTCGGGGTTTAACGGCAGCTGGTATCCTTGTACATGCAGTGCTGCCATCTTCTGTTTCAGTCCGTTATTACACTCTTAAATCCTGCTACTTATTCCTGCGTTTTTCAGGATCTTACAAAGCTTCAAACGACGCGTCGACTATTAAATCAGTCGTCGACGATTTTGATAGTCGACGTAATCGTGACTAGTCGACTAATCGTGGCAGCCCTACTCTCCATATACAATAAACCATCTCTGAACACCAGAAATGACTGTTCCAGTGTAGATCTTGAAGACCCACACTATGACTAATATTCTCCTACACTGTAGGTTTGACCACTTTACTACTCTGAGCACCTCTGGTATGCACATTTCCGTTTCCAATTATACCGAGATCCATGTATGCCATGAAAAAGGCAGCAAAGGCAACTGACATTTACAATAGTTTATTGTGGATTTGTGAAATAAATTAAATGAATCAGCAACCAGCTTGACCCGAGTATACACGCACACACATACAGGTTAAGTACAAACACATACTTAAAAACACCCTTTAATCTTTTTTGTCATGATTTGATATGCCTGATCCGGATTTCAGTTTCATGCACATGGTCTCAAATGCAAAACAGCAACTGAAAGCAAATAAGGCCATTTTACTACACTTGATTACACTGATTGAATAACAGTTACATAAATAGTGAACTAGATCTATGCCAGAGGGACTGTCAGTGTGATATAAAGTGTTTTTTGTTTTGTTTTTTTTGGAAAATTATGTGTTCTCTTCACATGAAGTAGGTCGTATCCACCCAACTTGAGGTCAGCCATGACACATGCATGGTATTAGTGCTCGTTCATTCTTTACAAACCAAAGAAAAAAAAAGAAAAAGCCATTTCTCAGCTGCAGCTGTAGGAGCACTGACACACACAGCCCACCTCCCACACCATGAATTTCTAAGACATCCCTACCTACACAGCATGGCGTTCTGATTGCACTTGAGTATCATTACATTAAACATTTGACGCAGCCTGTTACATTCCAGTGAAAATCTAAAGACTTGTTATTGGACGGTTAAGGAGCAGCAGGCTTTTTATATGCAGTGGATGGAAGCTTTTTTTTAATTTTTAACATGGTTTTTTTCATTAGTGGATCAGTCACTTTTGCTCACGCCTCCAGATGATGACCATGCCGGTGGAATCAGCAGATGCAAGTAAACTCTCGTCGCAGTTGAAGCTGACATCCAACACTGGACCCCCATGACCCTGCAGCTTGTTTACTATCGCCTTGGTGTTGCGCTCGACATCGAAGAAGTAGACGCAGCCATCCTCGCTGCCAGTCACTGCAGCAGAGGGAGAAACACAAAAAGAAATGGCGTGGAGACATTACAAGGACAGCTTGAGAAGATTTAATTTGGGATTGTCTCTAGGCAAGGTGCACACTAATTACTGTGACAACAACAGGATGTATATTATATATTTTTTTCTCTTTCCAGCAGAAAGTAGAATCAACACAGAATTATCTGCACACTCTAATGCATACTGGGCGAAATCAGAAATGCACAGGTGGTCACACACTGCGCCTGACAAGAGGACGGAGACACACAGCTTGTTTATTTTCCACTTCCAGCATGAAGAGAAAGTAACACAGGCTATACACGAAGGAGAGCGCTTAATGAAGGTTGAGCTTATTCATAAATGTTGATGACTTAGCTTGCTGACAGATTTAAACAGACAGATGTTGCATGACCACCTGAAAATAAAATTATACTCCCTGAGCCTTGTTCTGCTGGAGGTTCCTTCCTGTTAAAAGGGAGTTTTTCCTTCCCACTGTCACCAAGTGCTTGCTCAAAGGGAATTGTCTGATGGTTGATGTTTTCTCTGTTCTCTCATTTGGTGCTATATAAACACAACTGATTTTAACTGAACTTATTCAAACATTTCTTTTATATCTTTAAGAGTCTCTTTATACTTTCCATCTTCTTTTTCTATATACAACAACAAATAATAAGAATAACAGGCCAATAAGAATCATTAGGTTAACTAACAGTAGTTTGCCTGGAGACACAAACCTAATAATAAAAACAAGTCTTAAAAATGACTGATAGATAGAAAATAAACCATTAAATCTAGCAAGGACAGACTTTGAGGTTGAGCAGCATTATAGTTTATAAAAGGGGATCCACACACAGGCTCCATATTTCTGTCCTTGGACTTTACATGACCAGAGTAGCTTTAGATGAGTCACAGTTTAAAATAATCTCAGTTCATCCACTTTCTGAGGCCATTTGAGCTCTTCTCCTGACTAAACCAAGCATTTAGAGCAGTATGAAGCCTGAGTGAGGATGAGCAGAAATATTAGTTGATCATCACAAGGGAAATATTGGAATATTCCTTGAATACTGATTATACCTTTGATTCTAATCTCAAATGACTTGACAAACCAACTTCCCTGGAGGATTAGCACTAGAACTCATTTTCATTTATTTACAGAACTATCTGTGTTTTGCATGCTTTTCTTGAAAACAGGAAAAACAGCAAAAACACAGATAGTTCTTTCATGTTGTCACATATTTTATGGGTAAATTCTACTGAACTCTTAAATGCTGGCAAGCACCTTCTAAATAAATGTGTGAAAGTATCTATTTTAAGACATGAAATAGCCTGAGCTTCTGGCTTTCAGAGGTTGGACATGCATATTTTAAACTCGGCTCATTTTTGCTATAAACTTCCATAAATCTAAAATTAAGGAAAATTAAGAAAATAAATAAAAGCATAACAGGTTCACTGCAACCGTGCTGGTCTCATGTTAGCAATTTACTTCATAGGAAAAGTACTCTCTCTCTCAAAAATTGTCTTTTTTTTTTTGTTGTTTTATTCCAGAGGCAGTGGTATGCTATTTTGGTCAGTGTTTTACACTGAATTGCCTGCAGCAGGATATAAACTATGGTCTAATTTTGTATTCAAATATTACAGCAGGAATACTGGGAGACTTCTTACCCACACAGGCCCCCTGTCTGAAAGACATGAGGGGGCAGAAGATGCTATGAACGAGCTGGGATCCATGCTGGATGGGGAAGCTTCTCTTCAGCTGTAGTGTTCCCTCGTTGTCTACCACCCTGCCAGTGTCATAACTGGTCAAATTCAGCGTAACAGCATAATCACAAACAGATATTACAAGTAAACATGTTACAGCTTTAAAATCTGCACAGTGGAAACAAAGCTGCTTATTAATTAACAGTGACTTGATCTTGCAGACTGACCTGTACAGCAGAAGCTTATTGACACAGGCGTTAACCAGCAGCGAGGGGTCTCTGGCCTCTCGGCTAATCCAGGAACGAGCGGATATGCTGCAGATAGAGCTGCCTTCACTCACCACCAGACGCTTGGCTTTAGTAAGCTTCCCTGTGGTTGGGTCGGGAGGAACAAAACCAGCAAAGACCGACAGAAACAGATCAGCTGCTGACCCTCCAGAGCAGACATACTCTTCAGAGAAAAACTCATAATTTCTAATGTGGCCCTTTTCCAAATGTAAATGTGGTAGGTGTACCTGTGGCCATGTCAAAGAGGAAAGAGAAGATGCTCCCCCTGTCATCACCGGCCCAAAGGATCTTCCCTGGAGCATCAAAGGAGAGAGACAGCACGCGGCCTGTCAGCTTACTGGAGCCCCCCTTCACCTTCTTCCCAGTGGAGATGTTCACCACCTGCAGGTGGTGCTTGCTGTTTCCCACCTGGAACACAGATCCGGGAATGAAGACCTTTAATAATTCCACAGCGCTACACGGAGAAACTGACAGTGTGCACCATTTCTTTCTGTTGTAATTTAACCTGCGAAACCCAAATTTATCTTTCTCATGTTATATTTAATGAGGCATAAATGGACACTGCTGTGACAACACGTCTTTCAGCTTACATTCTGTACATCCGTTAAAGTATTTGTCATCAAACAGCTAAGTGAAATCCAAATTATCCGTCACATTTACCACTTCACAAAGGCTGACATTTCATACTAAAATTTTAATCAATGTCTGCACAGTGGAAGTATTCATTTAGTTATTGAGACTGGGATAAAAGGGTTCTCTTTGGAGGTTATTGCCTCAGCATGAAAGGCTTAATTTAGACTTTACTCACAAAAGGGGAAACATCTGGAATAAATGTGACAATGAATTAATTTCAGAGCGCGCTATGAAGTTTGAAGGAAATAAAAGCTGTAAATGTCCCTTGAGGTTACTCAGAAAGGTAATTTCTTTCAGCCTTTACCAAAAGTGTCGGATAACTGAAGTGTGACTTTAAGCATGCGGAAAACAGTAAAGGTGTAAGCAGACATCTGGTGATGGACTACACAGTTATTGTTCAGGTTTAACTAGTGTCTCGTCTTAACATATCTTAACAACAACTAAAAACTAGCACGCACATTCAATGTGAAGCCTGCAACTAAAGTCCGAGCCCCTGAAATTTTGAATTTCAATTTTAAATGTTATATTTATCACCCAATAAGAGAACATGCATCCAGTCTACACACTCACACATTATTGACTGTCATTCATCCACCTTGCTTTAAGATCCTTTAGGAATTTCAAAGAAAGCCATCATTTATTGTAATATTTTCAGCAACTAATCCCTTTAATCCTTTCAAACAATACACATTAAAGCAAAATAATGCAAAATAAAATACATCAATTATATCCTCTGCAACCAAGGATATATGCTCAGCAACCACTCTATTAGGCACACTTTTTCAACTGTTTGCTAAGACAAATCACATGGCATCAGTTCAATGTATTTAGGCATACAGACTTGGTCAAGACAACCTGCTAAAGTTCAAACCAAGCATCAGAAAGGCTAAACTATGGAAGCACCACACTGGATCCACTTAGCACCAATTAACCCTTTAAAACCAATCGGAGCAGGCATGCTCCATTTTGCGTAACTATTTTTAAATGAACTGGAACCACGTAAGCTAGCGCAATAATTTTTTTTGCATTTGAAACCGGAGGAGTTGTACTTACAACTTATGCCATCAGTTTGTCCTAGGTTTCCTTCCACATATAGCTTTGCAAAGATTGCATAAAAAGCACTTGCAGCAACAACAATATAATATTCCAGAAACAGGCTTTGCTGATCCAATCAGCTGTTCATAACACTTCCTACGTGGGAAAAGACGTCAGCGCGAACTATCACACATCCGCCAATACCTGCCCGAAACCGGAAGTGGCATCAATTTTGTGAAAATTTAGTTTTTTACCTTCAGGGCCTTATAAGCCTACACTGGTGTTTTTTATGTTTGACTTCATGCTTTTCTGTATCGTTTCTGGGATGCTTAAAACTCAAATTGTACTGCTGGAAATAGTTTATAATAATGCACATGCTGTTTTTTTTGCAAATTTGCATGATAATATTTATTTTTTCGTTTTCCCTGCAGTATATAACTAGAAACTAGAAATTTCTCTAACTAGAAATATGTGTAAAAAAATGATTTTCAATTTTTTTTGTAGTTTATTGCACTTATTTGCAATTTATGTAGTTACTATGGACTTAATGCATAGATATTATTAAAATTTGGGCTATAATGGTTGTATTGATGTATAGCAACTTGAACTGCTCCCTACAGCATGTAAAAATATAAAAATAAGCTCTGGCGGACTTGGTTCTATGGTAGGTTCTAAAGGGTTAAGCTTCGTTTAAACACCACAGCCTGAGTATTGTAGATGACCATGTCCATCCATTTATGAACAGTGTACCCGTCTTCTGATAGCTGAGGATAACACGCCATGTTAAAAAACTCAAATCCTCTCAAACTGGCTTCTTGAACACGATAATGAGTTCACTGTACTCAATTAGCCTCGGTTATTTAGTCATCTTTCACATTTTAGTCTTTCATTCAAGGTGATTTTCAAAAGTAACTTTTATTTCAGTTCAACTTTCTTTGTTTTGTGGTATTATCTTTTTATATCACATGTAATATGGGACTCACCACAGTAAGGTTATTATTCATGGGTTGGAAGGTGCAGCAGAGCAACTCGCTGGATTCTGGGTCTCTGACCTCTCGGATGCACCGGCCATCCTCTGTATTCCAAATACGGAGTGTCCCGTCCAGCGATGTCGACACAATGATGTCATTGCTCAGAGACCAGGCAAAGTCTGTAACTGGACCTCCATGACCTTTTAGGGTCACCTTCACACTGGGAGGAGGTGGTGAGAGTGTCATAATGGACAGAGTGCCATCCAGTGAGCAGCAAGCAAGGAGGTGCTTGTCATCATTGGCAAACTGCAAACGTGGAACTTAAAGAACAAAAAGAGGACAGAAGCGTGGAATACATGGAGATTTTCAGTGTATACACATTGATTATAATGAATTCAAAACCATTTACCTACCAGCAGAGTCGACATGTTGATCAAATATGTGGTGCATGCCAGCAAAAGCATAATTTTCACTCAATGTTGTGTCTCCTGCCATGGCACGACTGGCCTCTGCCACTGAGGTGGGCACCAAACTGCCCGGAGGCCTGAGGTCACAAATAAAAACTGTCACGTAAGCACATAATCAATAAAACACACCTCACAACCCTTGCCTACAGCTGACCACTCAATATAAGAGATCCAGTCATTACTCAGTGCCACATAACTAGAATTACGGCCAGTAAATCTAAACTAACGCATCTACTCATAGCAGAAGTAAATCAAAAATGAATTTAATTGCTTAAAGCAATGAGACAAAATGCTGGATGTGAGCTGGTCTCTGAGTGCACTCTTCTGGGTACCTCTCATCGTAGACGGCTCTGTTCATCTGGGCCTGTAGCTGGTACGAGCCTCTACTGACAGACCGGCGATGACCACGAGCCCCTTGGGCACGGGGGTCCTCCTCAAAGTCCTGACAGAGAGCAGAAGGGGCCGCAGAGAGAGAAAGAACCTCAAAGGAGTGAGTGCAAGAACTCAAGACCTCAAACAATCATGAAACAAAAACAACCACGAAATGTTGAAAACTTGTTGAAATTACCATGCATTTTCAAGTTACTGATACTGCCCACTTACATGGGCAATGCCAGCAATTTCAACCAAGCTGCTCAGTTTAATATGAACGGGCAACCAAAGTGTTGCTTGGCTATGTTGCTCACTGATCAAAACTCACATTAAGCCTTCCAGATGGCTCTTATATCCTAAACTTCCTTTCCAGCTTTAAGTTATTTTAAAATCTTTTCCCCCCAAATTAGTGCAACCACACCCGCCTACTCTCTCGCCTGTTCTACTTTTCCTGCCCTTTCTATTTCTTTGGGTCTGACCTCCATTCGGTCCAGTGTGGTGCGGGAGCTGCGCACACTGCTGGCCCTGAAGCTGCTCTGCTCAGACAGGGGCCCGTAGCGCAGGGCCAGCAGCTGACTGCGCAGCTTCAGGTACTGCCTGCGCAGCCCTGGCTCAAAGCCACACTTGGCGTTCTCTCTGAGCAGCTGGCTGCGTCGGCGGATGTACTGAGTTCGGAACTGTGGGAAGGTAGGCGTGCGGTAAGCATTGTACCTGGAAAAGGGGAAAGAAATGACACAGCACAGGCAATAACTCACAAATGATCCATATACAATTACACGTCTGAATGGCTTCGTCATCAGTTTGGACTATTAAAGCCAGCTGCCTGACTGAGTCTCACCTTGCGTCCACTGCCAACACCTGCTGCCAAACTGCTGCCATTCCACAAGCACTCTGGGTAAAAAGGAAGCCACTACCAGGGCAGATACCTGTCACAAGACACAACACAAAATTCACATTATTAGCAACTTTAACGGAAAAAAAAATAGCATGTACCAACTGTATGAGGTCGAAAAAAGACAAGCTAGTATTAATGATGCGCTGATAAAACTGAAATATTACCCCCACCATCACATCCTCAGCGTCAAAGGTAGCAATGATTCAAATTCTAATGGCAAATGAATGGTTGTGTTACTGAAATGTTATGCAATGCGAGTTTGACACTAGAAAACAATCCGTAAGGAGAACCGACATAATCTGCTGAACGGTTTCCGCTTTTATTTTCTCGAAACAATGTAAGCAGACGAGCTAAACTAGCGCTAGCCTGTCATTTAGCAAGTTAGCCACAACATCATATGCGACTACTGCTCATAAAAAACACTTTCCCGTTCAATTTTCAGCTTAGACACACAGTCTAGGAGCTAACAATTTAATACAGCGTATAAGACATGACTGGTGATCACAGAGCAAAGAAACTCAGTAAAATACGGCTAGAAATCGCTCACCTTCCTTAGCTTTTCTCCATCGCTGCTTTTTCTGTCAAATCACGTGACACACTGTAACCAGCCCAGTCACTGATGTGGAGCTGCTGAATCCGGATGATGATTCACAGCGTTTACATTTAACGTTACATTCAAAATAATTAACCGACCATGGATCGACTGAGGTGCAAAAGATCTAACAGTCCATTAACTCATTAAGTACACGGCTATAGGTTTTTTTTTTATTCAGAAATCAATAAAATATTAGGGCTTTATATTTGTTTACTTATAGGAAAAAACTATGCATGGTTTGGTTGCATTATGGTGATCACTTTGACCCGCTGAGAAGCAAAATAATCAATTGATTAATATCAGCAATATTTTACTAGTCCACACAGAAAATGCAAAGCATTGCAAATCTGAGTATAACTTAATGATCCCTGCCAAAACCATCCACTCCTAAAGTGCTGACAAGGCTGGAGGCCAATTCAGTGTAACAATATGTAGCAGAAACATTTAAATTTCTAAGGACAAAGTGTTACCTTCTATCAATGTGGGAGGAAGTGTGATCCATGACTTAGCCGAAAAATAACAACAATAATAAAAAAAAAAAACACATGATCACTTTGCCTGTAATATGATGAAAATACTTTCTTGCCATGCACAATAGGTGAACACATGGTTCCAGTGGGTTCACAATGGCAGTATTACAAGGTCAGCTCCGAGGTTTCGCCTGGCTCAGCAAAGACCTGCAGAGCTGTAGGGCGTGCTGCTAAGCTGACGGGGCTCTTTGCTTGTTCATGGTGCTCTTTCTCGAAGGGGCCCCAGTGACAGAGCCATTCACAAGCACGGGCCATAAATGACCGAGCTGAACACCACATTAAGCACTGCATTCTCAAAAAAACCCACCATTGACTCTGGAGGATAGCCAAAATGCCAGGAACAAAAGGTTAGTAGCATGCAACAAAAAAACCCTAATAATACAAAAATATATTTTAATTTATTTGCATACCAGAGCTCCATGTCCAATAAAATCAGCAAAAGCTACAGAAAAGTTGGCCTTGCTGCCAAATGTTTAAAACTAATCTGAATATTTGTGCCATTTTCAGGTAATAAGTCGGACAAGAAGTCAACTACCAAGGTAGGAATGTCATTATTATTCTAACTCTTGTCTCAATCTGCATTTTGTGCTGCTTGAGTTTATTCGTTTTACTTTAATTTCACAGCAACCTCAGAGTCCTAAAGAGCAGCCGAAGAAAGGTGATCAGAAAGGAGATGATAACAAGAAGCAAGGAGGTAAGCATTTATATTAACTATATTATTTAAAGAAAAATATTAATAATAATTAGAAAAGACATTTATTTTGTGCAGACTTGATTTTGACAGATTGGAGCAGCATATGAAATCCCCTACATGTGGCACATAGGGGTGAAATGAAGTGCTGTGTCCCCAGTGAAGGTATCTGTCTGTGTTTTATCCCCTCGCAGGACAGCCGAAGGGAGAGAAGCAATAACTTCCAGGCATTTGTGAAGATGGCTTTGGAGACACTGCTTGGGTCTTGCCGTCGTAAACATGGGGGTCCTCGGGGCAGACAGGGCTGAGCGCACCTCCCCTTCCCTCCATTTTGCTCTTTTCCCCAGAGCCTGCAGACTGTGCTGTTGTGTTGTTGTATTGGCCTGGCAATACAGCATATGCTCACCCCTGGCAGTGGCAAAAAAAAAAAAATTAACCTGATCTCCATCCATCACCATCTGTCGTTCAACCTTTTTCTGTCACCTTCCTGACATTGTCCTCTTTAGCTTATTGGATGCTCAGAAATAGACTCCAGGTTTGACCAGATCTTTGCTTAAAGATCAAAAAATAAAATCAAAAAAATCATGCAGTCCTTCTCAACTCACCCTAATGCCATGATTGACTTTGTAACAGTTGATACATTATTTTTGTAAATCACTAAAATAAACAGTTATTTATTACAGCAGTCCATGTTTTTATGGCATTTGTTTTTTTAAAAAGAAAACAAAATCTCTGAAATGTCGACACTGAATCAAACAAAGACAACATTCCAGGTTTCATTACAAATTTTATAAAAATATCACAGGTGTACCAGTGCCTTCACATTTACAGGGAAAAAACATTGACCTAAAGTAAATATCAGAACAGGTTTTAAAATACTGAGTGATGTTAGGTCTGCAAAGACTGAGCACTTGCTCTTGGGCAGAGACGAACATTCAGGCTCTAATCTAACACGACATGCTAGGCAAGAAGCAATTCCTTTGACAGTTTAGATTAAGGAAAGACAGACTGGACACTTGTATTATTTTATCAGATCATCATTAATTACATAAATGTGTCATTAAAAGCAGCCGTGTATTAAAAATCTGTAGTTAAGATTGAATATTTAATATCGTGTAATCACATTTTAAATTACCCTGATTCTAAACCTTTTTTTTTTCTGCACTGAGGAATAACAGAGTTTTAAAAATACTAATACAACCTATTCTAAGCAAGAGGAAATAATTCAGTTCAAATGAAATTAACAAATTAACACAAAGCTAAATACAAACACCAGGAAACTCCACCACAAACTTTAATTCATGGACTTACTGAATATTTGTCTTTATCTAAAATTCACTAAAAGGGAAATCATTACTGTTGACAATAAAATTGCTGCCTTGTAACCATAATCTGTGCTCTTTTCATTCAAAATTAATTCCTCATTGTCTTACACATGCTCAAGAGACAAGCTCTATTAAAGAACGAGACTCGTCATTTTCAGTTTTTTTCTTATAGTAATTCCATGAAAAGACCAAAGCTAACACCCTAACTAAACTATAGGAAAGTTTTGTCTCTGCTGTTAACTACAATAAACTGAAAATAGGCAAGAGTAGGTCTCTGCGTAAGACCAACGGCAATTCCTCAATCAAAGGAGGCAATTAAAAAATGTCTGATGTGGTTGGGTCAAAGCTGATTTATTGTCCGCTGCTGGTGTAGCTCTATGTGTTTACCCAGAGGACAGAATGAGGAAAACACAACCAAAAGAAGGTGCTAAGGAGACATGTTTGCATGCTCTCCTCCAGCAGGTCAGAGGTGCATTGCTCCTATACCGGTGAATAGTCTGAATGCTGATTGGTTGAACCAAAAAGTGAACAACCACAGCAGCGTTCACATAAAGAGGAAAAGGTGCCAGATACTTCAAATGGCCATGATGAAACAATCCCCACTGGCTTAATATTAAAATGTCCAACAAATAAGCAGCTGTGGCCTCTATCGCTGGTGGGTGTTGATTAGGATGCTAGCTGTCTAAGTTAGCTTGTCTAAATTAAGATTTGCGGTGTGAGTGAGTGAAACTGTATTCGTTTATTTTAAAAGCACTTAGCACTAATTACTAAAGTATTGGTTGTATTTTATAGCATTTTTGTTGAATGCATTTGATGAATGCAGACTGCTAACCAAGCTAGCACTAGCTCACAATGTAGCAATACACCTCCTCAGGAAAATACGGTGCCCTCTGAGTAAAAAACAAAGTAACAAAAAGATGGTTTCAGCCATTAAGCTAAATTAGAGGCTTAAAATGGGACTTCACAAATCAATAGAGGAGGCTGAGGTGGCCGTCTTTCATATACAGTCTCTGTGGATAAAGGCAAAGGACCAACAGCAAAGCAAACACAAAAAGTAACCCACATTTCCAGTTGTTCTTGATACTACCCCCAAGTGGCAGGAGATAGCTATATCAAGTAGGCGTGCACCTGCAAAGCTCTGCATAGCACCAGTGCAGAGTGGAGCCTTCGATGTTAATGATGGTTGATGAACACCAGCTTTGACAGAGGAATGCCGACTGTGTGGACTGCAGAGATACATTTTCACAAATGTACTCGTCGTTTCTTTTTGAGTGACATTCACTGAAAATTACAGTCTCAGCTGTTTCATATTCTTTTGAGCATTTTTTATTTTATTTTTTTTAGAAAGGGCTGAGTACTACGGACAGACAGTTGGAGGAAGCTGTAAAATACTGAGAGATCTACAATTGCACTATTGATTTAGGTCATTTCATAGAAATTATTCACTATAAGAAGACATTGATGACTGCCACCCCTACCCTTTAAACTGAAACGATTTTATAACATAAAAAGGGAAGAGAAACGTCGACTGAGGCCATCTGCCGCAGTCGACGCTGAAACCTAGATAATGGGCTTTATCGTGTGTCCACAGAAACAAGCGGCCAATATCCACCATGCTGATAGGTATTGATTGTGACTCACAGTGAGACATCGGTAACCGCTGTCACAACATGAGGGCTCGATAACTGCGGCTCAGATAAAAAGGGAGCGACGCAGAGAAAAGAAATGAGGAGCGAGCTATCATTTCATGGATATCAAAACTAGTCCCCAGCAGGTTAGAATAATAGATTACCCAGCCAACTTGTGGTGCAACCTGAACACTGAATGTTGGTTCGTTGTTGTATACAGGATGATTCTGTTCTCTTCGGTCTGATGCAGGATAAAGTCACAGTGCAGAAGTGCAGAACCAGTTTTCCATCTCTCATTATTACTTCCTTCACTCTTTCTTCATTTCTTATTATTAGAGAATAAGGCGGTATAATATCCAGCATCCAAATGTGACCCAGTGGCTGTTCCAGCTCAGCTCTGACCACTTCTGAATGGTATGATGGGTGATATTATCCTGTAAGGGGATGTACATAGTGAGTCCAGTAATGTGTAGTAGTATAGTGTATAGTATCATTTAAACCTTTTCCTGAAAGATCTTTACAAAATGTGATTTTTTTTTGTCATTACTGACTGAAAATAATTTCATCTAAGGCCTTTCATCCAGCAAAACCATAAATTACTTTAACTGTTGATAATAAATATCACAACTAAGGTTACATTCCTATGCAGCAATTCACACGTTCATATGTCACAGTGAGCTCCACATTTTTATAGCAGGGCATATAAATATAGACACCTTTAATCTTCTAAACATGCTGGGACTTCAGTATGTCACAATGCTACGTCAATAGCACACTGCTAGCCTTCTATACATATCCTGAATTTGTAAAGGTTCCTCAAAAACAACTCGTGCATTTGGCCTAACTAGTCATATACACAACGATAATATCTAAAGCTTTTGAATACCATTAACTTGATTTCACATTTTACTGTATTTTAAAATGTTCTTTTTCCAATCTCTTCTCTGGTTCTATCCTGCAAAATGTGCGCTTTCCTCTGGGGCTTAGCATACTCTTATCATGTCTTACCTCATCCTCCTCCATAAAGTCCACACTGGAGTTGAACACTGAGCCGAGGTATGTCAAGTGCAGTATTGCCAAAGCACTGAATGCTATGTTTATCATATACACCCATAACCCCTGTGGAGGAAGAAGGTATAATGTAAGAATAAACAAGTTCCTTACTCAATATTACTACCCCAAATCTGTAACCTCTGCAAGATTTTCATATTAGGGTCCTGAGAACCTTACACAGATTTGTTGAAGAAGATTATCAAAGAATGTTTATTACACTCTTAAAAACTAATGCCTTCTTTTAGCCAATTTCACTTAATAACATGGCAAAATACTTAAGATTTAAAAGCACGATTTCAGGGCTTCAATGTAATAATGTCCCAATTATGTACTATGGTTTATGCAAGCTGTTTTTCCTTGGCATAAATGATTACGTTCCCCTTCCCGGTGCTCTGCTGTGTGTTAAAAAGGGATTTTTGCTGGGCATCCTGTCAGCAAACTCTCAAATTGTGTCAAATTAAGGCACAAGACAGTCCCTCGGGACTGCTTTAATATAACCGCAGCAGATGCGATGGCAATAAAACCTGATGTCCACACTTCTTTAGTAATACATTAAGTAAATAATCTTGTGTCTTCCACCATAATGACTTATCCTGTTATCCTGTTAGAAATGAAAGAAGGCTACAGTAAATCAAAATGTAAGATGATGAGGAATAAAATTGTTATAATTTTATTCCTCTGAGGGGAAAACAAACAGGGAAAAATAGCTGGTGCTGTATGGAGCTAAAGTAGGTCCATTTAGAGCATCTCCTGCTCAAGTGTCACATATATGTCTGTGCAATGAGAATTTTCACAAATAAAACAGCTGGAAGAAAAGCAGTCTTTGCAGCTGTTTGCAACTCTAATGCCAACAAATCTAGTTGCAAGTCTGCTCAGACATTTGTCCTTTTCAATATCAAAAATGTCATCACTTCATTCTCATTGTATGCTTTTTTTTTTGTTTTGCAAAATTTCATTGAGGTGATGCATTTGAGTTTTTGTTTCCAGTTGATGGCATGGAGATATTTATTAAGCAGCAGGAAAATGAATGACATCCTCAACACATCCCTTTCCCCCCCTTATTAGCCGTGTAAGCTGTTAATTGTGCAGAAGTTAATAAAGTTGTGGTCACACTATCTTAGCATCTAACTTGTCCTGCTGAAGTGGGGTGAACATAAATAAGGGGGAATGTTTGTAAGTGGGAGGTAAATTCAAATGCAGCTTTCCAAACAGGTTAGCAAATATCCCCAAACACAAGTGGGAATATTTAAGTGTAACACTCATAGAGATGGTGAAAGACGGAAATAAAAACAGGAGATATGTGAGGATTGCTCAGCGAGAGAAATTTGATTAACTGGAAATTTAGAGCTAACCTGTGATGTTGTAATTCATTTTTAGTCTTTAATCAGATACTGGATCTATACATGAAGTGTTCCTTTTTCATGAAAGGAAGCTATTTCCCCCACAAAATGAGAAATTTCTTACTGAATAATTTGAAGTATAACTCCTGTATATAATTCAAAGGTTGCATAAAAATACCAGGCGGTTTACAGCAGGATAAAGTGATTATTTTGTAGTATTATGGTGAAGATTACTGTAATGAACTGTCATGGACTGGTACAGAGTGTGCTGTGGTTTTCTGGTCAAAATCAGGTTAAATCCAGAGCAGCTGACATTAATTTTAATTTATGATGGTTATACTGATTATATTCACTCAATGAATTCTACTTTTTATACTAACTTCATACTGTGTAGCGTTTGGAAATCCACCATGATGCATCATATAACATTTTATTGCTACATGATAAATCTTGTTAAATCCACACAGAGCAATGCATCTCAGCTGGAGCACAGGTCAGCCTGTACACAAAGAAAAGTCTACATGAGCGTTTTATATGTAGGTCTGCCTACACACACACACAAATATATGTGTATATATATATATATATATATATATATATATATATATATATATATATATATATATATATATATATATATATATATATATATATATATATATATATATATATATATATATATATATATATATATATGGTGCTAAGTAAAAGTCTTAAGCCACCCTTCGTTTCTTCATAATTTGCTAGAAACAAAAAGGTGATTTATTGAAACATGCTAAGATTGAAAGTCAATATTTAGTATGACCACCTTTAATCTTCAAACAGCTAAACAGTATGCAAGCTTTGTTGCAGTTTTCAGGAAGTGTACTCCAGGCTGGATGGCTGCCTTTTGTTCAGTTTTCTGTCTAAATGACCCCAGACAGCTTCATTAATGTTGAGGTCCAGGGTTCTGGGAAGGTCAATCCATGACTGATAGTGTTCCACTCTATAAAGCTCTTCTCTGTTTTTACTACATTGGAAGTGTGTGTGGCAACACTGTCATGCTTAAAAATCTGTCTTTTTTTTTTACCCTTGAATGACTCACAGGTCAGTATTAAGCATTTTCACAGGAATGTGAACTGTTCTGAAAATAAGTAAAAAATAGAAAATGACCTTCAGAAAGCCTGGAGAACTTTTGCTCAGTCCCACTGTAAAAAAATCTCCTTCCTTAAAATGAGCATCTATATGAAGGCTATCAATCTTGTCCCTGTTTCAAATATGAAATGATCATATTTACTCAACTTACTCAATTCTTTTTAATAAAAATAATAATAATTGAACGGTTGATAATTGAAAGGTTTTTTGTTTGAAGAAGAAGAACAAATATACGAGGGAGCTGCATTTTACCTTTTTGTTCTGGTGAGTGCAGTTTGGCAGGCATTTCTTTGACAGTATACAGGCATTAAAAATAGCTGCAAGCCTCTTCCGCAACACTAAAACACGAAACAAGACCAGTGCATTAAAACAAAACAAATAGATGAGTTTTTTCCAGCATAAGAGGAAAATTACAAGCACTGCAGTAAACAGAAACAGTGTTTCACAGTGAGTGCAATTAGCCATTAGTGCAAACCTAAGCACCTTCTCCAAATGGAAAGGTTCTAATGTGGAAAAGAGAAAACCCCCCACAAAACTCTGCTTACCATGCTCAACATAAGTGATGAATCCCAAAGATATTAGGACTGCACCTAGATGAAAACTCAAACCCTGTGAGGTAAAAGAGCTTCAGTCAAAATAATCCAGTTACTGATACAAAAAAAAAATGCATTTAAAAAAGTAATTGTAGGAAAAGTCTGCATAGGACTCACATGCAAAAGGGCACTGGCTGTATATGTTACCATTATAGCAGAGAATGTCCCAAATTTCAGTACACTCTTAAAAACATCTGTGAAATTAGAGCAAAAACATCTGTGAGCTGGTATAAGAATTTCTATTTAAATGAGCCATAATCATTACACTCACAATGGCAAACTAAAGCAAAAACAGCTGCCGCCTGTCTTGAACTCACAGGTGTGCAGAAAGCGAGACATGGGCAGATTCCACGATGTTACCACCTCCACCATTGACCGAGGAAACTCTATATTAAGCGGCTTGGATACGGTCATATCCCTGCAAAGTAAAAGGTAAATGGGCGGTGGCCTGTTATAAATGTGAATAAAGAGAAACACACTCAAGGTTAGCAGGTGCGCTTGCAGTTCTAACCATTTGAGGTTGTCTTTCTCCTCGGTGAAGCCTGCCCCAGCCAGAGTAGTGGTAGTTTCACTCAAATAGCCAACAAAATAATTGCTAAAGTGGAAAGACAGTGTGTTCTCATACGCCAGTAGCCACCTAATGCAGGGACACCAAAATGGGAAGAAATAGATGAATATCACAATCCAGCTTCAAATAACGTCCGACTTTACTGAGTGGCTACTACAGATGAGTAAAAAACATACTTAGCTGGTGTAGCCCTGAGTAGCATTAGGATAAAGAGAGCAATGTTAGTGACAAAAAAAGGTTTATTGACTTGCCTTGTGATGATTTATGCTTCATCAAGCTGGTGAAAGTGTTGTGGTAAATGAGAGGGTGAGAGGGGTCTCCTGGTACATATATAACTGCACAGAGAGGAGGAGGAGGATGAAGTGGGTAGATACATGCAAGCAAAGGTTTTGGACAAATGGTGATTATGAGGAATGCATGCCTACAGTGTTTGGTTTATTCAGAGTCACTGAGGTGGGCAATTAATTACCTGATCTTCCTCCTCTTTTTGCTGTAAACAAAGCAGGTGACAGACACATTATCTTAACAGAACAGCAAGCCACAAACCAAGTCAAGAATACACAGGCATTTGTTTACAGTATGAATGTGTGTGTTCTCCTCACCTTCGTAGCAGCTTGTCTCCATAAACAGGTATGAAATAAGGGAAGAGGTAGGGTGCCACACAGTTGGAAATAACAAGGCAGACCTGGCTCTTCACCCAGCTAACAGACACTTTTAAAAGCCACGAAAGGCTCTAAGGAGAAGAAGGAAACATCAGCTGTTCTTTCACTTTTTTTTTAATTAATCCTCACTCAGATCTAAAAGATATAGTATCGCACCTACCAGCTTACGGCCTTCTAAAGCTTCTTTGTAGCTGTTGAAGCTGATCCAGGGACCAAAGATGACTGTGCCCACAAAGTAGATATAACCCATGAACTCAATGGGTGAGGGCACACTGGTCACAACACCTCTATCCAAATCAAAGGCCAAAGAAATGGCTTTCATTGCAACCACCATCTGAGAACCTGGATGACAGCAGCAGCATTTAAATGATTGTTGTATTACAAAATTAGACATTACTAATGGGAATATTAAAGTATACAGACAGCAATCACATTTAAGAGACAAATGATGGCTGTCTTACCTCTCATCTTGTGCCAGTTAGTGGTATCCATCATATGTAGCTCCCTGATGAAATGAAAAGGAAAGGTAGTCGTAATGAAAAGAAAAGACCATTCCTTGAGTTTTCCCAAATCGGCCAAATTCCCGAATTCACAAGCTTAAAGTCAATTGGAAATTAGGATTTAGGCGTGAATAAGTATACATCATACATTTAAAGAAATATTGGGGGAAATCACAATAAACTTTGTTGCTTTTATTTTGAATTCAGGTGCTTTTTAAAAATGTTTTACATGCGTACATGTGAACCAGTGTGAAAGCACGTTGTAACGTGTTGGAACCAGTGTTTATGACAGATGTGTTTGCTAGCCCTGACAGATGTCAGCTCACGTTAAAAAAGAAATCTTGATGTAGAATGCAGAGTTTTTAAGAAGACATTGACTTCTGAGCTTTTATTTACTGGAGTCATCTATAGAACTGTGCTTAGTTTACAGAGAGCAGATTGTTGTGTTTGAGGATTACAGTTTGAATCATCATTACGAGACTAAACACACAGAGAAATACAAGAAGTTGACTGATGCAGACTGAAAATGGACATCTAAAGCTTTGCTAGCGAAGCTGCAAAAGCAACAAGGACTTTTTTCCTTACCAAGCTTTACACATCCAGAGATGGAGCTGTCAAGACCAGCTTTGTGATTTGACAAAATTTGGGCTTTTTTCACTTTGCCTGTTTCACATTTTCATTGCTTATAGCAGTTTAGATTGAGTTCAGCTTATTTATGTAACCCCCACAACACTTCCAGCTTCTCATGTGGCCCCATTGGGAAAATGAATTATTAAAGAAGCTCTTTGGTTCAGTATTACACCTAATGTGTAATACTGAACTGTCAAGTAACACAAGAGGACTCTCTTACCCCAGGAGCAGGTAAATGAGCACAGTGATGGAGAGAAAGGTGCCTCGGATGGTAGAATGGCGACACAGGAAGAGGAAGAGGTAGCAGAGAAGGCTGAGAAGGACCACCCAGATCATGTGCAGCTCAAAGAACAGGTAGAGCGTGTAGAAACCTCCTGCCACTGTGACCAGGTGTTTCACAAAAGAAGGAAGACCTGACATAGCCAGATAAAAATAAAGAATAATGTATGTGATTAGAGATTAAAGTGAAGGTCTGATAACACTGGCTGGGGTGCAAAAGCTCTGTACTCACCGAACATCCAGATAAGTCGACATAGCAGGCAGATAACCAGCAGCTGCCATACCTGCTCCAGGCCCTGCTGAGCTGTGGGCAGAAGGCAGCCATGAGCGAGCTCTTGGAAAAACTTCTGTCGGCTGAACACTCCCATCACTAGACTTAGAAAACAAAGAGAAGCCAAAATGCATTTTTACAGCAACAAAAATAACATTTGTGTTAACAGTGGTGACTTATAGCTAAATACTCTTCATTAAACTTCAAATCCCAGCATGCAACGCAATTCACTACAGATCAGTGCACATGCAGCACAGCTGCTGTTCAGAGTTTCACTAAAGATGATGAGAGCTCTTCTTGTAATTTAACATATTTTTAGTTGCATCAGACTGGATACAATGAAATACATCCCAGGATGTAAAACAATATGAAGACTTCATCACAATAACACCATGACCTGGGTCTCGGGCATGTGGAGAATATTTGACATATGCTATTCTGCAAGACATGCTCTCTCCGCAATGCAGTCGGCCAAGGGGATGAGTTGACTCACAGCTGCCTTCCTTCAGCCGCTGCATTAACAGTGCCTCAGCGTGCTCAGCGCTGTGCGTCCAGGGAGAGGCAAACGCATCGTAAATGGATGCGAGAAATCCGGCAGGAGCTACTGATCCTTGCAGTGAGCGGTCCTGCTAACAACCTACTTCAGAGCTACCCCCCCCACTTCACACCAAAAACAGCTATGAGGCCCCCCGCCCCCAGCATGCCAGTTTGTTTTCCGTGCGTAAAACTCACCCTCTCAGAGCAGCAGGATGATCCTCGTGTCTCTGCTGCTACTTTTCCGTCCCTTTAAAATAACAACAAGCCTGGGTCCTGCTGCTGTCTTTCAGGCACACTCGGGCCAGATGATGCATATCTGGATGACTCCCATTGTCACAGCATCAGCACCACTAACCTGCCATCTATGAAGCCACGCGACGACACATCGGCCAATCTAAACCGCTGCTGAACGGATCTCAGCCAATCCTCGCTTTCGTCACCCTAATGTGACAGCAGGAAGGTCCAAACAGAATCGTCGCCCTGCATAACCCCGCGCATCCGAACCAATGAGACGTGGACAGCGTACAGATGGACTGAAGACGGGACTGTTGTGGATGCGGAGGAATGCCCTCTCTGAACGTATGCAAAAAAATCCAATGTACCCTTAATCTACGTGATCTTTTATTCATTTAGTTCATCGATAATATGCAAATTCAATCAGAAAGTCAGTTTTAATTCAATGTTACCATTGTGCATGAAATAAATATTTTAAACATAACCTACATTTTCTTCGTCTAAAGTAATTCATAAATGCAAACTTAAAGACAGTGGTTAGTTTGAGTGATCCCTCACCGATGTGCAACCCTAAAATATAAAGCTGATGATGATTTAAAGGCTAAAAACAAACAGTGTTCATGCGTATTTACGCATATTCTGTGTCCTTTTCCATAATTTCAACGTAGGTTTATGCTTAATATTTGTTTCACTTTCTATTTAGTCACCCATAATACTGGGTTTAAAAGAAGAACACGATCAACAAAAAGGCCATTTGACTGTTGTATTTCCTCATGTAATGGGGATTAATGGATTTTGCTTTTAAATAATAATTTAAAAAGTCCCCTGCATCCACTTTTATGCGATATTTTCCTGGGCCTTAACTTCCTTTTAATTTTATTCTCTTTGATTTGTGGCCATAACGCCTGGCAATTTATTTAAAGTATTCTACTTTTACCTGTCAAAGCAATTTGAAAATTGTGCTTTCAAAAGATGATAAATCAATCAAATGTTTTGTTGTTGTTTACTTTTATTAAGATTGATAGGTTTTCTGCTTCCTAATAATGCAAGCTGCTTTGTAGTTATAAGTGTTAGTGAGCACATAATAAATTCCTCCAGCAGCAAAAACATAAAACAAAACTTATAAATTAAGGTATGAAAAACAAAATAGCTAAACAGGGGGGGACAAACACACAAAAGAAGTCAATTAAATAGAAAATTAGATAACATACTAATAGGCACTACTAGAGATAATTTTTACTTGTTTTTTCACTGGTTTACTTGTCAATGTATAAACATTTTTTTTTAATATAAAGTAGTAGTTTTTCATCTTAAAAAATGTAACACTTTGTCAGTCTCATGCTCAAGGGCACTATACATTGGAGCCAGCTTTCTCCGGAACAGTCGAGTCAAGTCTGCATTTTCACATTATGATTAATTATTAAAATATTTGTCACGGCTCAATTGCAGACAGTGCGAAAACATTCACCAGATCGATACAGCTGAACCTAATGACCCAGAAGTTGATAACATAAAGGCTTTATAACCGCAATGTTAACTGAAAACATCTGTATGGCCAAATAGGACTTTTACTGTGGTTGGCAGGTTGGATTATAGAGCAATGGGGTCCTTTTTTTTTTTTTTTTTACTTCACATCCATGCAGCAGTTAAAGTAAAAATCCTCCTTGGAAAATTCAGCTGCATAGCAAGAAAAGTTCCAAGCAATGAAAACTAGTACACACCTTATTGTTGCTGTACTGCGGGGGTTTTTCTGTGCAGTCAGCTCACAGAACAAGCAGGTGGTTTTAATGCAGTGTGACACACTGACAGGAAGACTGTCCAAGAAAGTTAGACAGACATTTTTGGGTCATTTTAACAATCCCTCTAGAGCCACCATCAGGACAGAGACTACTTGGTCTGACAACCTTGAACTTTCCTTCAAAACTGTTACAACTCTGTGAAATCTACGCACGAACAAAAGTCAAAAAAATATAATACAGCAATTTAATTTTATTACATTATGTAAAGAGCATATTTCACTTCATACAGCTTATTTTTTTTCTCTTGTTCCTGTGCACGTGAGAGCAAATCTAATGGGCACACAGTAGACAGCTGCAAATCACCAGCTGAGAAATAGCTTTAGCTATTTTAACAGATAATGCTATTCCAAGAATGTGTCATTTGGACATATAGCTGGTTAGGTGCTTCTTGGTGTGGGGGAAATGGGTACATGGTAGTTCAATCTTTCCATTTGTCCATGTTTTCTGCCATTTCTACATTTGAGTACATATACATACAGGTCAGCTGAAGGAGAACAAAACAAACAAGCAAAAATAAAACGTAATCAGTCCAAAGTTGTTTTTTACAAATGGGAAATTAAAACTCCATATTGTGTGCAAACAGTGCAAATATCATAGCTTACAAGTCAGAAAAGCGAAGCCGAAGGTGCCTTAATCCATATAAGAGACCACAAAACGTTAATTAAATTCAGCAACTTGTAGAAACAGCAGGTGACATAACCCTGAGCGATGGAACGTGGGCACTTTTGGAGTCAAGCATGGGATCAAAACATACTGTTAATTGATATGAGATGTTCATGAATACATTAAACGGCTCTGCTACACAACGGCAGTGTGGAAGATCCACTAGTGACTAAAAGCCAGCTAAGAAGTGATGTGGGATGACCACATTGGGTTTTATGTAACCAATATGATCGTGAGGAAAAATGAGCCTTTATGAGTTAAAAAAAAAGGAGATTAGCAATCAATGGATGACATCCCTGTGACCAATGTACATCTTTTATGAACAGTCTCTAAACTAAACTTAATTGATTGTAGTTAATGAAGGAGTGTTGGTAGTTAATTCTGCTCTCAAAGAATTTTACCGTTCACTTTAAAAATTCGACAAACACTTGATGGAGGCATTTTTAAGCTGGCAGTTGTTTACTCTAACCATAAACATAATTTATTTTAGAAAACAAACAGCATTGGTTTCACAGTCAGATCCACTTCTCATATACAGATTAAAAAACAAACAAAACAAAGAGGACAACTACAAAAAAAAAAATGCACAAAATGTAACAAATGGTTGACGTAACTGTAGCTACATCATACATACATATGTTGTTGATCATATACACTGCATATGATCAGCAACATAAAAAGCACCTGATATCTGACAAAATAACTGTAATCCCTCAGGGCACGCATACTGGACCCTCTGGATTTGTCCTCTTCGGCATGTGGCCAGGAGCAACCGCTGTCTTCTGCTGTAGCCGCCTCTGTGGATCAGCCGTTTTTCTGGATTGAGATCTGAGAGTTTAGAGGCCCTGTCAACACCTTGGACTCTTTGTCGTGCTCCTCGAGCCTTTCCGTTTGTAGGCGTGTGCTGCACGTAAAAGTAACACCCACACGAATTCCTGGGAGCTCAAGGTTTGCCAGCAGAACCAACCATTGTAATAGTGCAATCAAGGTTATTCACGGTTTCAAGGTTACGGCTGATTGGTTTATGTGTGTAATATAAAGCTGCAACCACTATCTGTTTCCAGTTAGCTGAGGCAGATGTGAAAACTAAATTGTGTGGCAATTGTTATTAGAGATGATTGATCATATTATTGATGCCGTTTGTAGCACACGGTGCATTTTTCCACAGACTAAAGTGATTATTACGGCACAAATTGCCAAGTACAGAATATAGCCTGAAGCCCAAATCCTACCTGGTGCAGTTTTACAACACAGGTCAGTTCAAACAGCAGTCGAAAAAAAAACAATTGCACCTCATCACTGATTAAGAAGTGAAAGATTTTAACTACAGAACTAAAAAAAAAATTATAACAGCATCACAGTACTTACAAATATATCAGTGTGCTAAGAGAGGCAAAAGTGGTGCAAGTATAAGCCAAACACTACAGGTTTAATACTGAACACAGCCTTGCTTTTGTTAAAATGCCTTTTAACTCAAAGAACAGAAACACTAATAGGATAGGAGCACTAATGTTGAACATCTTAAGTAAGGCAAAAAGGTCAGGTAAGTAAACAGGTCATTCTAATCCATTATTCAGATCAGAGCATAATCTCCAGGTCATAAGCTATTCTCTCCTTTTTTTCTGGCTTAGTGTGTTCTTCTGGTGAAATTATTGGTGCCTCACTTTGTTCCTTCTTCACCAGATTCTTAACCCTACACTTTTTCGGCTTGCTTAAAATATATTCATAATTTCTTTTAACCTCTAGGAAGGCTGAGGTGAGGTACTGAGGTGAAAAGATCTTCAGTGAAGATGGAAGTTCTGTATTTCGGGTGAACAAGTCATGGTGAAATGAGGAACCCGGGTTTTCTGAGTGTCTCGCTTCTGGATAGAGTCGACGAGGCACAGGACACGGTCTCAGCAACACCGGTGGGGGGATTTCTGGTAATATATTGAATGAAGCCAAAGGTGGGGGCTTGGATAGAAATCCAGGATTTGGGGGTGTAGGAGCAGCAGTTGGAGCAGAAGTAGACAGTGGAGGTGTAACGGTCCTTGAGCTCTGAGTGTTGCCAGGTATTTCGGTCATCTGGCTTGGTTCCAGTTCATTTTCTGTCTCACTCCTGGAGGAACTGTCCTCAGGCTCAGACTCTGTTTTAAACTCTGTCTGCGGAAGGAATAAAATGTGGTTGTGACGCTGACAGAACAGCGTGCCACACCTGAGGCACTTCCTGCCATCTTTAACATGGAGCAGTTTATGACGCTTCAGTTGGTGAATCGTGGTGAAAGATCGATCACACATGTTGCACGGAAAGAGGGGCTCATCCCTGTGCACAGCATGGTGCTCACTGAAATCTGCCTGAGTTATGAAGCTTTTTCCACAATTTTCACAGACAAAGGACCTTTGTTCTTCGTGCAGCCGTTTGTGTTTTACCAGCTGTGGTATATCAGTGAAGGTCTGACTGCACAGTTCACACCGATAACCACCTTCTGATGCAACTAAAGGTTTCAGGAGCACAACTGGCCTTCTCTTATCTAGTTTTAGGGTGTCTGGTAGTCCTTTGAAGGGTGGTGATGTCTTATTTAAGTCGAGCATTGTTTGAGACTGGATAATTTGGGTTTCTGCTTCAGTCTCAGACACTTTTGCCACCGTTTCTCCTTCCTGAA